GGTTGTGTGTGTTATTTTGATAATTTATTTTTAAGCTATTACTTTACCCGCAGCATAAAAAGTCAGCAAATTATCAGAGTTTATTCCACTGACATTCTCACACCTTGAGAAATAGCCCATTTGCATTATCACAGTTTGATATATTTCCCATTTACTCAGCTTCTTTGGCAAGTTGGCATTTTAATTTAATTATACTTTTTGCTAATGGTCTTTATTTTTCAGTGTCTGTGTGTAAAACACCCTTAGGTTTGATTATCACCCCCTCCTCTTCCCAGTGCCAAGCCGTAGTGCAAATTTATAAACTGACAAAATTCAGCGTAAAATTCAGGGAGGTGAAATGAAGGAATCTGTAAAGAAATCCTGCTTGAACCATGAGGCATTTTCTTCGCTTGCAGAGTGTGGCTCCGTCGTGCACTCGTTTAGTTCCTGGCCTTGGTGTCACTAACAGGAACCACAGCACAAGAGAAGGTGGGTGAGTGCTCACCCAGGTCCGAGAGGGACAGGGACCCCCGAGGGCTTGGACTCCTCACCGGGTCTCTTCTGTGCCTCTGAGGATCTGGCAACAGCAGCAATAGCGCGTTTCCTTGACTTCTTGGCGATGCTTGGAGCTTTGTGGCTTCTCCCTTAGGGATAGTAACTGATGGTGGAGGCACGTAGCTCTCCTTGAGGCTGTGGCTGGCCAGCGGAGTCTAGACAAGGGGTCTCCCTGGGCTTCAAGGCTGCACTGGCGTGCATTTAACAGCAAAGAGGAGCTAATGAATGGATATATCCAGAGAGGCGAGTATACACACCCGTACTCACATTTACACAAGTGTGTACAATCTATTTCCTTGATGCTAAGAAAGCTATTGACTGTAAGACACACCACTGATTCGATAATAGCCTTTCCAAAAAAGGAAAAGAAAGAAACCCTACAGGTTTACACAGACACATCAATTGCAAGGTAAATTCCAATTTCAGAAATGATAAAAGGTAGATCAAAAATCAGGTAAACAAAGGCTGATTTTGAAAGTCTTGGAAATTTAGTGTCTATATAATTTTGATAGCTGTATTTAAGGCAAAGCTGGCTTTCAAAACCTGTCCCAGTGTACAACTCAGCATCTGAAAACCTCTGTAACCATAGTCATGACTCCTAATTGGGAGATAAATCCCTGTTCTAATTCACAGGGATGTAGGAATTAAAATGACGTGTGTCTGTGGAAGTGCTCTGTAAACTGTAAAGTGCTGGGTAAATGTTGTTTTTGTTATTGTATTTCACTGGCTATGTCTTATCTGTTTGGTCAGGTTTTTTTTTTTTTTTTTTGACTCAGTTTAGTTGTCACACAGAAGCCTCCCTCTGACCTGTCCGCATCACCCCCTTACACCTTCGCCATCCCATCAGCTTGGATGCTTTGTCTTATAGAAGTGTATGGACAAGAACCAATGCATTTAATCAGTTTAGCAAAGCCTGGGATAATTCATTTGTCTGTTCTTGAAAAGACGAGCATCTGCTGCTGCTGAGAAAAACAGGAGAATTCTAATGGTGGAGGATTTTCCATTAAAACAGAGGAGGCGGAGGCTGGGGGAGGGAGGCCTGTAAGTGTATCAGGCAAGATCTTGGTGACACTAGTCAAGGGCCTCATGAACCCATTACACACCTTGGAGAGAGAGGGGGCAGGAACCGAGCCACGGGAAAGGCTGCCTGCTCCAGCGCCAGCAGGAAGGAAAGAAAGAGACATACAATTGAAGAACAGAGCGTGTTAATTACCTTACTCAGGGGATCTTATAAAACATGATGTATATGTAAATTGCTACAATGAATATGATTACTGCAGGATTTAATTTTCATAGAGAGGAGCGAGAGGAGGGAGACCGGGGCTTAGATGCCACCCTCTTTGATCTTTGCTTTCTCTTCTATAGATGGGAAGTCCTGTTCTTCTCTGACTGTTAGCCTCTCCACTGGCCAGATAACGCAGTCTCTCCCTTGCCTCTCCAGTTGCTACTCAACTGTTTGTTGGATGAATGAGATCCTTTTGTACCATGAGAGATAGGATATAAGGTCAGACACATAATGGGAGCCAGACCATGTCGAATGTCTGCTATCTTCTGGAGGACTTTGAGTCTCTATGGCTACTCCCTGGTGTAGAGAACTGACAGTGTGGGTAGTGGGGCCACCGGGAAGCAGGGAACCAATTAGCCAGGGATGAGCAGGGTCGGGGGAGGTTTTGACACCAAGGAGGGGATGAGAAGGAGAGAAGTCATGAGATTCTGACATATTTTTAAATCATGGGAATTCAAGTGGATGTGACAAAAACACCAAGAGGAGAGAAGGATAACGCTAAGCTTTTGGCCTGAGCAAATGGAAGAACAGTGCTGTCATTTTTGTTTTGTTTTGTTTTTTTTGCTGAGGAAGATTAGCCCTGAGCTAACATCTGTTGCCAATCCTCCTCATTTTTCGCTTGAGGAAGATTAGCCCTGGGCTAACATCTGTGCCGATCTTCCTCTACTTTACATGTGGGTCTCTGCCACAGCATGGCTGATGAGTGGTGTAGGTCCATGACCGGGATCGAAACCTGTGAACCTGGGCTACTAAAGCGGAACGTGCTGAACTTAACCACTACGTCACAGGGCCCACCCCAGTGTTGTCATTTTTTGATACAGGGAAAATATTTATTTAAACAATGCCAAGTGTAAACTTTGTACCAGTTGAAAGAGGAAACAAGTACTATTGGGGGTAGAGTGAGTTTGACTGACAGAGAGCAGACAAGAATTCAAGAAAAGATGTAGGAGAGAGAAAGAATAAGAGAGAACAAATATAAGGACAGGTTCAAACCCTGACAAATACTTGCTGTGCAGAAGGCTGGATTCTGCTCCATCTGGGAGCATACCTGTCTGTCATTATGATCTAATTATTTTTGTGCCTGTGTTGTCCCTTCATTCATGCAACCATACGTTCTTTGATAGCAGGATCCTCTGACTCTTGGGCACACAGTAGGCATTCAGTTAACACTTCCAAACTGGCTAGGCAGGCACAATGGCTGGAACCCAGCTCATCTCCTCACACTAACTTGATAAATCTAATTGGAAGGGTGGACCAGCATGGGAGAAAGTATTTTTTCTTATTTTGGCTGGAAGGGACCTTCAGATCCTAACATTATCCCTCGTGCCTTGCTGCCCTTGGGGCAGCACATCTCTCCTGTGCTCACACTGAAGATGCTGCGTGGAATGCCGTGGCCTCCTTGTTGCCTTCTTTGTCTAGTCTAAGGGTCTAAGAGAGGAACAGTCCCGGTATAGTTTTTCCTAGTAAAAAGTGTGGCCTCAGAGTGTCAGGACCTTAAAGAAAAGAATCAATAGACTGCAATTAAGTGCAATCAGCCCTTTTGTTCTTTGCATTTGGGAGACCCATGTTCCATGGTTGATGGGTGGCAGATGGGATGGTTAGAAGTTTGGTGTTATGGGAGACGCTTGAATATTTTACAAACCGAAGAAAATCCATGTCACCTCCTTTGTTCATTGGGAAGAGGATGTGGGTAGAGTGATCAGAACTGGTGGTACCTACTGAGAAAAAAAGAAAGATTTGAGTTCTTTTTTAGGTCATAATTTTATTGTTTAATCATTTTTTAAGATAGAGTCATGCATTGCTTAATGATGAGGATACATTCTGAGATATGTGTCATTAGGCGATTTCGTCGTTGTGTGACCATCCTAGAGTATGCTTACACAAACCCAGATGGTATAGCCTACTGCACATCTGTAGACCTACTACACACCTAGGCTATATGTAGATCTGATCTTATGGAACCATCGACATATATGCGGTCTATCATGGACAGAAACATCATTATGCAGCGCAAGGCTGTAGCTGTATCATTGGCCTTCGTATGCTCTGCCACTTTAAGGGGCTTAGTGGAGAAAAAAACTTGCAGACTGTCCTTGTGTTCTACGTTTTATTAGTCAGGGTCAGCTCCCCATCTCTGATTGCCAGGGAGCCTTTTGCACCCAACATTTGGCTTAAATGGTGTTTTGTGCATGAAGAAAAGAGCATCCTAACCAGCTGCATGAGCCAAAGCATCATCAGGGCCCTCACTTGCTGAGAGAATTGGGAGACCCTGGAGGTGGCTTTCCTGGGAAGGTGGAGACTGTCTAGTCCAAAGGGTCTTTGCTATTTGGTCTTGGTGACTGTTGGCTGCGAGAGGGAGAGCCAAAAAGCCTGTTTCCTTCTCTGCTGGAGAAATCTGCCTCTGAAAACGTCAGGCAAGAGCACCAGGGGCCCAGCTTTTCTAAAACAGAGATAAGGGATCCAGCAGAAGAGAGAGAAAGTCTGTTTTCTGTGGACCCTTAGCCTCTTCACCTAAAAGGTATTCAGCACACAAATATCTTTACAGTTCCCTGTAGTTACTGTTATGGGTTGGATGATGTTCCTCCAAAATGATATGTTCGAGTCCTAAGCCCTAGTACCTCAGAAGGTGAGCTTTCTGGAAATAGGGTCTTTACAAAGCTAATCAAGTTGAAATGAGGTCATTAGGGTGGGCACTAATCCAGTATGACTGGCATCCTTATAAAAAGAGGAAATTTGGACACAGAGACAGACATGCACAGAGGGAAGACAACGTAAAGATACACAGAAAAGAAGATGGCCGTCTACGAGCCAAGGAGAAAGACCAAGAACAGATCCTTGATTTCAGACTTCTAGCCTCCAGAACTGTGAGACATTTCTGTTGTTTTAAGCCATCGCATTTGCGGCACTTTGTTATGGCAGCCCTAGAAAACTAATATAGTTACTTATGGCATTTACTACATCTTGAGTCATTTCATTGATTCCTTCTGATATATATCCATTGGTTGGTTAATATGATCTTTAGCTACATAGGCAACAGAGTCTGTGGTGTCAGGGTTACCTCCAAAGACAAATGACATAGGCTACATAGGATGGTTTGTAATAGTGATTTGCAGATCAGGAATTTGGGCTGGGCTCCACTGAATACTATTCTGCTTGTCTTGCCTAGGGTCATTCACGTGACTTCAGTCACAGTGGCTCAACTTTGGCTGGAAAGTCTAAGATGACTTCACTCCTAAGTCTGGTGGTTGGTACTGGCTAGGACAGCTAGGATGGCTGTGACAACTGGATGACCATATGATCTCCCATCCTCAAGGAGGTTAGCCTGGGCATCTTTGCATGGCCATGTAGGATTCCAAGAGTGTTATCCACATTCTTAATGATTTCCTTAGGATGGTTTCCCAGGAGTGAAATTGCTAGGTCAAAGGGCATGCAAAGTTTTAAGGCTTTGCCTGGGTCTTATAAAAATGCATGTTCTTTTAACAGATATTATGACCAGGTATTTTCTCTACAGTCATTTTCCCTTTGTTGATGTTTTCTATCATTCACATTCATGTGTAGAAAAAAAAAAGCCACACTCTCTACCTGACTGCGTTCAATCAATTCCTAAATTAAGTAGTGCAAGTGGAAACGTAATTCAGTCCATATATCCCCGAGGAGCAAGTGGACTGCAGATTCGTTAAGTGGGTTTCACCCTCCATTATTAAACATATCCCAACTTTCCTAGCTGGAGAAGGGAAAGGGACAATCATTTTTACTTAAATTAAATCATCATAGTATTAAAACCAAACAACTTGTCTACAGTTTCCTTTGTTCAGGAAAACCATGCATTTCTGTAATTTCTACATATGTCTCGTATATCATTGGAGCCCTTATTCATTTAAAATCCAAGAAGACATGCCTATTTAAAAACCCGGCTGCCATTTTGTTTCAAGAGCCCTAATAGAACATCACTCAACCTTAACATCTATTTAGGTATTTTTCATTAGTGCGCCAGATTGGGTCAAAATCAGTGTGGGGCCAGAGTAGCAAGCTTAAGAGACAATGCTTTTTGACATCTAAGAGCTGCATAAATAACCTTGACCATCTGCTTGTAGCACAGACACTTAAAGGGGAAGAACAAACAAAGTCACAGGAGGGTTGCTTAGCAACTCCTGGTGTCATCCCCAGAGAGTCAACTTCTCCCAAAATTATCTTTCAAGAGAGACAGAGAGACATAGGCTAAATATTAAGTAGTTACATTTCAATGTCATTTATCAGTCAGTAAGAAGAGGAATATAAAAAAGTCAAACCTCTAAAAGAGTTTCTGAAATCCAAATCTTTTGATACAAGTTCTGAAATCTGTCCTTGGCAATCTTTTCGCCCCACTGGCAGGGATGAGAGTAAAGTTAGGAAGACAAGGATGTGTTTCTTTGGTTTCTGGATGATTGCTTCCCAAGGGCCTATATTCCAAACTGTATTCTGAGCTGAACTGTCTTCATGTTTCTCATAGAGTTGAATACATTTGTTTCCTCACTGGTAGGGAAAGGTTAAAACAAACAAACAGAAAATACTACAATTCATCCCAAATATTTCATTAAGTTCATCTTTAAAATCACATTGACATCTTTCATTGGTATAAGGCTTTGAAATAGTCTAGGCGTTGAAGTCACAGAGACATAAGTTCTGGTCCAAGCTTGGCCACATACCAGCGATGTGATGGGCAAGTCACCCTCTAAGCCTCAGGTGTACTCACCTGTTGGAATGAGAAGCGTATCTTCTATGTTAAGCAGCTTTTATAGTGTGGATTAATTGCAATTGTATACAAAGCAAGCGACACCAAGCTAGGCACATAGTAGGCTTGAATTGATAATATTTATCCTTATTAGTACGTTATTTCATTATACTATGTCTTTATATGATTAGGTAAGACATTATTATTCCCATCTTAGGAACAATAAAAACAGAGAGGGGAAGAAATCTCCCAGGTTCACGCTGCCAGTTCCGAAAGTCAGACAGGACCTAACTCCACATAGCAGCAGCAGCCGTGAGCTTCATACGGTTGATTGGGCTAATGAGGCTGAAATGATCAAGACTTCTTTGGGCTCTAACATAGCACCATGTTTATTTATTTTTTTTAAGTTTCATAATGGAAACAAGGAAGATGTTGAGCATCTGAGTTTAATAAAACATCTCTTATTCCCATGACTACTGACATTGACTGTAAGATTTGAAATCAGGACACTGGCCTCTATAGTACCACAAGGCCACCAACATCTACTTGGGTTCTTTTTGAACAGTCGCCCTAATGTGCAGCCCCAACAGACCAGATGCAACATTTGTGCCCGTTCCACGTTTCTAGCCTGGTGCAGGAGGTTCATCTCAGCCACAGTGGCTTATGTGGTAAATCTGCCTAGGAGAGTATGGTGATTTAGATTTCAGATCCTCAGGGAAAGTGGTGGCATGTTGGGTTAGGTTGGTGACTATTCTTAGGAATATTTGTTCCTGATTCAAACACAGGTGCTTTTCTTTTGCAAAATCAGAACAAGCAATCAGACTCCTGGTTCCACTCTCGAATGCACTGCCCACCCAGCAGTCTGGTGTGTCTCCTCCTCTTATTGCCAGCTGGGTCTTCTTCACATGGCCATTCCTACCTGTAGACTCTTATTAGCAAGTCCACCTCCAACTCTTCAAAACCAGGAGATGTGAATCCGTCCTTTTGTTTATGGAACAGCATTCTTAGGAGCTGAGGCTAGTGATGAGAGACAGAGGGAAGTTGAGCTGGTGGAAGACGGTGGGGAAATAGGGTGATGAGAGGACAAAGTCAAGTTTGGCTTGTGAGATGACTTTTTATCCCCTTAGACATGCTTTTCCCTCTCTAAGACATGGCACATTTCAATCAAAAGCCAAAGTAGCATCCTTTTCTAATTCATTGCAAATTTGAAACAAAATCTTACAAAAGTATGCATCTGCCGTGGGAGTGTCTGTGTTGGAGCGGACATGGTGTTTAGGCAGGGGAAAAGCAGAGTAGTTGATCAAAGTGTGTATATTGGGGCAGAGGAAGTATGGGGGCTTTTCAACAAGGCAACGGCTAGGCAGAGGGCTCTTCGTGATTTTTCATTGTTAAAATCCTGTATACTGGTTCTGTATATTATTGAGACAGACACTGCTGGTTATCTAGCCCCTTCTTCCTTATAAAAAATACCAGGGCATTTTTCCAGGCTTTCAGTGTGCCCCGCTACAATTATTCACTATATCAGACCCCTGCCCACTCGAGGTGGGCACATGACTCAGCTATGGCCAATGAAACATAAACCAAGAAGTTTGGAGAAAGCTTTCTGTCCTGATATCAATACCATCCTTCTAACTTCTTCTTTCTTCTTCTTCCTGCCTAGAATAGTGTGGAGGTTGAGGTGTGGAGATACAGCAGCCATCTTGTGACTAGGAGGTGATATGCATATGGGCAAGTGCCTATTAAGAAGGCACAGAGTATCTAAAAGAAAAGATCCTGGGCCGCCATCCTGAGCCACGTTCCAACCCTGGACTGCTGCCCACACACTCCTAACTATGAGGAGCAGTGTTTTGTTATTTGAACTAAATGCATTGCTAACTGATATAATTGATGACATCAAGCAATAACTGCATTTGTTAAGGTAAGAATAGCTGCTGTAGACAACCACCACCAAACAGCAGTGCATTTTAGAGTAAAAGTTTATTTCTCACTCACGTTAAGTCCCAAACTGATATTCTTGATCAGCAGAGAACTCTTCTCTACGAATAGTGATTCAGGGGTCTTGTTCTTTCTATCTGGTGGTTCTGCCATCTTCAACACATGGTTTTCAAAGTCACCCTGTGTGTGGACTTCCAGCTGGCAGGGTGGGAAGAGAGAGAGTATTGTGGGGTGAGGTAGGGACACCGGGAGGGTGTGTACCAGTCCCAGAAGTGGCACATGTCACTTCTTCCATCTTTCCATTGACTAGTACTCAGTCTTTAGTCACAAATAAATACATGTGAAGCTGGTAACGCAGTCTAACTGTGTGCCGAGGAGGAAGAGAAGATGGGTTTAGTGGAAGACTAGCTGGCATCTGTGGCAACCACCAAAACCATACGTTGCCTGTCATTGCTTCATCCTTGGGGTGCTGCCTCGGAGTCCTGAGGGATGAGCTGGCACCTCATCTTTCATAGTGGTGGGTTACAGTCACGCCAGTCTTCCTTTGGTATTTGGATGATGGGATGTGAATGTAGATACGCAACCAGGCCTGTGGATTTCTTCAACTGATGAGGGAGAAGAGAAGGTAGGGGAGGGTGGCAGGGTCTGGAGGTAGATGATCATATCCTTGTTTGACTTGGAGTAAGCAGGATGTGGGGCAGAGAGGAATAAAAATTATTTACATTTCTTAACTTTCAAAACCACAAACTGTATGTCATAAAATTACAAATAGGATATAAACAGCAACTATTTGTTTGGCCAAGGTTCTTCACTCATCTTTTTGCTGGAAAGGAGATGGGGTGTAGTGGTTAGAAACTCAGACTGAGGCTTGGATCCTGGCTCCACCACTTAGTGGTTTTGTGACTTTGGGCAAATTCCTCAGTCGCTCTGAGCCTCAGTTTCTTTGTATGTGAAAGGAGTTACTAAAAGCAGTTGCCTCATAAGGATGTTGACAGCATTGAATGAGATGAAAGATATAAAGGTCTCAGTATAGGGTCTGACCTATAGTGAGTATTCAATAGATGTTAGATGATGATGATAATTTGAGTAAATAAAACATTTCTTTTTCAGTTAAGGAAGTACTTAAGTGCCAAAAATCAACTTAATATTTTCTTTCTTTTTGAAATTTTATTTATTTATTTATTTTTAATTTTATTTATTTATTTATTTTTCCCCAAAGCCCCGTAGATAGTTGTATGTCATAGCTGCACACCCTTCTAGTTGCTGTATGTGGGATGCGGCCTCAGCATGGCCGGAGAAGCAGTGCGTTGGGGCGCGCCCGCCAGTAGCAGAGCGGGCGCACCTAACCGCTAAGCCACGGGGCCGGCCCTTTAAATTTTATTTTATTGCGGTAAGAACACTTAACGTGAGATCTGCCCTCTTAACTAATTTTTAAGTGTATAATATTGTTGATTATGGGCACAATGTTGTACAGCAGATCTCTAGAACTTACTCATCCTGCTTGACTCAAACTTTATGCCCATTGATTAGTAACTCTTCATTTCTCCCTCCCCCCCAGGCCCTGGCAACTGCTCTTTGATCCATGAATTTGACTATTTTAAATGTCTCATATAAGTCGAATCATGCAGTATTTGTCTTTACGTGATTGGCTTATTTCAGTTAGCATAATATCCTCAGGTTTCATCTATGTTGTTGCATATTGCAGAATTTCCTTTTTTAAGGCTTCATAGTATTCCATTGTATGTATATACTGTATTTCCTTCATTCATCTGTTGATGGACATTTAGCTTGTGTTCACACATTAGCTATTGTGAATAGTTTTGCAATGAACATGAGGGTGCTAATATCTCTTTGAGATCCTGATTTCAATTCTTTTGGATAAATGTCCAGAAGTGAGGTGGCAATTAAAAAGCTTTTGCACAGAAAAGGCAACCATTAATGGAGTGAAAAGGCAACTTACAGAATGCGAGAAATATTTGCAAATCGTAAATCTGATAAAGGGGTTAATCTCAAAAAAATATAAGAAACTCCTACAACTCAATAGCAAAAAAACAAAAACAAAACTAAAACCTAGATTAAAAAATGGACTAAGGACTTGAAGAGACATTTCTCCAAAGAAGACATACAAATGGTCAAAAAGTGTATGAAAATATCCTCAACATCGCTAATCATCAGGGGAATGCAAATCAAAACCACCGTGAAATATCACCTGACACTTGTCAGGATGGCTATTATTAATAAACAAAATGAAGGGGCCGCCCGGTGGCACAAGCGATTAAGTGTGCACGCTCCACTGCGGCGGCCCGGGGTTCGCCGGTTCCGATCCCAGGCGCGTACCGACGCACCGCTTGTCAAGCCATGCTGTGGCGGCATCCCATATAAAGTAGAGGAAGATGGGCATGGATGTTAGCCCAGGGCCAGTCTCCCTCAGCAAAAAGAGGAGGATTGGCAGATGTTAGCTCAGGGCCGATCTTCCTCACAAAAAAACAAACAAAAAAAACAAACAAAAAAAACCCAAAATTAAACAAAAAACAAGTGTTAGCAAATGTGGAGAAATTGGCATCCTTGCATATTGTTATTGGGAATGCAAAATGGTGGAAAATAGTATGGAGGTTCCCCCCAAAATTAAAAATAGAACCACCATATGATCCAACAATCCCACTTTTGGGTATTTATCCAAAAGTACTATTATTATTAAAAACTTATGATTCATCAACTTGGAGTGTCCAGAGAGAGCCTCTAGATGGTGCTGAAGCAGAGTCAGCTTGGCACCCAATCTGAGAAGCTCAAACATACTTGCTTATCATTTCTCCCAACCCAGGACCCTCACAAGTCAGAACTGCAGCTCTGTCAGATAAGGTAATCGGGAAAACTGCGCCCCTCTCCTTTACCTCTGTTAGTCCATGTGTCTTTGGAGTGGGAACGGTTGGCCATTCTTTGGTTGCTCCCTAAAACAATACCAACATCCAATCCAATTTAAATCCACTGAGACAGCATATGTTAAGCATACAAAGTATTGCTTATTACACATTAAATGCTCAGTAAGAGCAATTTCCCTATTTTTACTCTAACAGGCAAAAAATTTCTTTCCCCATCAGCGTGGTCAATGGGCAGCAAACTTTCAAAATCTGTGTATTTTCTTGCTGAAAATTGGTGGTAAGCAAAGTTTGCCTGATCGATTGCACTTATCTGAAAGGCTGTTGGATGTAGAGATTACAAGTGTGGGCTCTGGACTCAGACAGGCTTGAGTTAAAACCCAGCTCAGCCCAGAGCTATGTGATCTCAAACATGCTATTCACCACCATTTGTCAAATAGAGATGATGATACATCACTTATTTGAGGGAATGAAAGCAAAGTGCCTAGCACATGTAGGCATCCAGTACACATTGCTCCCCTTCTTCTTATTCAAAAAATATCTATTTAACCCAAACTCACCCTACATTGCACTTTTCAGCATGGCTCTTCCCTAAAGCCCTGGCTGTGAGGAGGGGGCTTCCACAGGACACTGCCTTCTATCAAAACCAACCTTCCCTGCTCCCTTCTTCTCAAGCCCCTGTCTTCTCTTCTAGCTGTGATGAGTTAGTTAGTTGGATGAACTAAACATGGTCAGGATGAGTTAGCCAACTAGGCTCCCTAAGGCGGTTCGTGGTGGTGAGAGGATAACCTGAGTGTGTATCCTCTCTGAGCAGCTGAGTTATCTGGGACCACCATGTCATATCTCTCAGCCCCAGTTCCTCGTCCACCTCATAAAGAGGTAGACTGACTCATCTCCACTGGTCCTTCTCGCCCTTAGCCTATGTTCCTTATGAGTGTAAAGCAGGCTACTATAGGCAAGAGAGGCCAAGAGACCATGTGTCTTTTCTAGAGATGCAAGTGGGTCTCGGTTATCCTCCTTTTGATGTATTTGACTATTTTCTCACCCTTCATGGGGAGCTGGCCTAGTCTGATGGATGAAGACAGAAATTCTCTGAATTGCAAAGTCAGCCCTGAAAGGCACTGTGGAGCTAAGAAACATGGTGGCCTTGGGAAAGCTGATAATTTGGTTTCTCTTTAAACGTGTTCCTGATATACCTGCACAGTCATGTCCCGCATAACAATGTTTTGGTCAATGACGGACCACATATGTGACAACGGTCCCACGAGATTAGTACCAAATAGCCCAGGTGTGTGGTAGGCTATACCATCTAGGTTTCTGCAAGTACCCTCTATGATGTTTGTGCAACGATGAAAATGCCTATGACCCATTTCTCAGAATACATCCCTGTCGTTCAGCGACGCAATAACTGTATACGCAGTGCATGTTTGAGGACTTGATTTATCTAAGAATGAAAATTAATTACAAGCAGAAAGTCATACACCTCTGCCTTCACGTTCAGATGAGTGACTTATTAAGGTCCTGAAAATAATGTTTCTTTAAAATATTTGTTCATTTAAAATACAGGTAAACATATAGAAAAACACAAAAATTATTCACAATTTCACCACCCACAGAAACTCTGAAGATCCAAAAAATAAAAGTATGTGTGTACAGTTAGAATACATAAGCAGGTCAGAAAGGAACACGATGAAAAAGGAAATCTCTTCCTCAGTCCCTCTTCCCTACTGCGAGTAGTTTTCTGTGATTCTTCCAGAGGCATTTTACGTATTTGCCAGTACACACGTGTGCACATGCACACGTTAATTTCAGAAAAGGAATTTAACGAATTTGTTACTTCCACTAAATATAATCTTATATTTCAATTTTTCATCTCACAGTTTTTCTGTTACTCAAAATAGTGTAATGTTGGTCCCTTACAGTCACCAACGTAGAGGTAATTTATGTGGACATACTTACTAAGTTTTGTTTAAGCTGTCACTGAAGTTTCTTTATCTTGCCTTTACGGCGGTGAAATTTTTTGCTATCCTTTGTCCTCTCCTAAGTTCCCCTTCGCAATTTTCCAAATCAGACGTCTTCTTGGGAGGCATATTAGAAGGGTTTAAAATTTGGATAATAAAATAAATTGCTCATTTCCTGTAAACAGCATTCCAACATGCATTATTTAGTTTTGGAATTATCCTGATTACAACTGCTGACTTCAGGCAGCTCCGAGCTCTCTGTTCTTGGGCTTGGTGACATAGTAGTTGTATTTTGAAAAAAAAAGCGAAAAAAATCAGTGGAATTTTCAGAGAGGATTTTTGGGGTTTTTTGTTTTGTTTTGTTTTAATCTCTAATCATGGCAACTGTCTACTTTTGTAGGACCAATTTATGTTTTGCCAGTTCTCTAAGGAGTCGTATGCGGAACCCTGAATTAACTGGAAACACATTGGCAATCAGTATAGACGGTGTTTTCCTGCCCCACACAGAAGGCTAACTATGGCAACTGCATCGTTGACCCGACCTCAATCAGAGGCTCCTTAAGAGTAGGAGCAACTGAGGCATTTTTCTTCCATTCTGTAGTAAGAGGGTTACTAGGATTTAGAAGTCCTTGGAAGCACCCAGATTGCTCTGGAGAGTGAGTGTAGACAGAACAGAAGAAGGGGATAGCATGTTCTCCACTTGGGAAGTGAAGGTCAGCAGGGCCAGCGCACAGCTCATCTCAAATAACAACACAACTGATGCTGAACTCCACTTGCCTAATCACAACTGGGATGTGATGGTAATGGTCCTCACACTTGTCACCTTTGGACCATCTCTGCCATAACCCAGAGAGGTGTCCTCTTAAGAGTGGGACGGGGGAAGAAAACAGTCATTTTAACTTTGAAGGACACTAAAAACGCAAACCTTGTCACGTAAAATGACAAATCAGTTCATAAAATCGTAATAACTGACCTGCGCGTTGTGAATTTCCTGAAACGGGCGCTCAGATTGGATGCCAGTAACAGGTAAGGAAGGGGCTTGACGGAGATGATTAACAAGGGCCTCCACTTTTTATTAGACTCATTTTGCTAATCCCTAAACTTAAGGAATTCCAGGTGTACGGAGCCAAGTATGCAAATGATTTCCTTCCGCCTAGCTGCTGATTTCATAAAAGGCCTCAAACCAAGAAATAAAACACACAGAATGGGAAAGCTTTACGGCACAGTCGAGAATATCGCGCCTTTAAATAGTTCAGACAAGCAGTGCGTGCTGTAAATTTGCCACAGAGACAAATGTGTGCAAAGCTATAAAAAGAGCTGAAGGGAGAGAGCTGGGGGCGGGGAGGGGGCAGGGAAACTCTCGAGACCCCGGTGGCCAAGGCAGTGTTGACTCAGCTGAGGCGGCCGTGGGGGAGTACCAGTGGGGAGCACGGTACACGGGGTGGGCTCCTTCCACACAAAAACAGATGGAGAAAGAAAAATGGGGACATTTTTATCCAACAGGAGCTGAAAGCGTTGCATTTTCCTGGTGTTCTAGTTGTAGGGGCTGGCAAACCATAGCCCGAGGGCCAAATCCCATCCCCTACCTGTTTTCTTCTGGCCCAAGAGCTAAGAATGGCTTTTGCATTTTCAAGCAGTTGGAAAAAAAAACAAAGAAACAACTCGCGACATGCGAAAATTGTATGAAATTCACATTTTGATGTCCATAAATAAAGTTTTATTGGAATGTAGTATTTATGATCTATGGTTACTTTATGTGACAACGACAAAGTTGAGTAGTTGCAACAGAAACCATATGGCCTGCAAAGGCTAACATATTTACTGTTTAGCCTTTTACAGAAAAAGTTAGAAGACCCCTACTCTACAGCAGTAGTTCTCAAAGTGTGGTCCCTAGATCCGCAACATTAACATCACCTAGCAACTTAGAAATGCGAAGTCTCAGGTAACACTCAGATCTACTGAACCAGAAACTCTAGGGGTGGAACCCAGAATTCTATGTTCTAATGAGCACTCTGCCTGCCCCCACCCCATAATTCTACTGCTCACTGAAGTTTGAGAACCACTTATGTAGAGTAAGTCCACAGCTAGAGCCTAATGGGACACTGAACGCTAAATCCTCACAAGAGCGGACATAGGGTCTTTATGAATGTGGGAAATCCTCTGTAGGAATGGTTACAACCACAGTGGGTACCCTGGGCTGCTACCTGGCTGGCCTGCCCCTTAAGGAGCTCTAGCTTAAGCAAAACAGGAGGACCAAATATTGTTGGAGGGCCCGCTCTCCACACACATAAGCAGCAAGTCCTGTTGTTTTCCATTTTACAGACGGGACAATAAATCACTTGTGCAAAGTCACACAAGTGGAAGAAACAGCCTTCAGGTATGTGGTCTATCTGAACTCAGCATTTGAATTCCTTCCCCCGTCCCGTGGTACCCTTGCATGAAACATACTTAAAATTCTGTAGGGACTCACCTGGTTTCAGGCTCCAAGGAATTGTGGGAGTTGGTAACTCAGATTTTGGAGTTCACACCCTGCTCAGCATGGCATCTGCTCTCAGAGCCAGCATTATGGAGAGAATCATTTTGCAAAATGCAGGAAAATCGACAGTCTCCTTGGGAAAATGTCTGGTTATTCACAGTATTTATATGTGTAGAGCACAGAATATTCTATTGTGAAAATATTGAGATAACAACTGCTTGGGGAGCGTTTGCAGTGAAATATTTACTTGGGAGAAGGGGAAACATGTCTAACGATAAAAAAAATTGTAGGCGCGTCTGGGTGAACATTATTTAGCTGCAAGTGTTTGCTTAGATATTTTTAATATACATTTATGCACTTTAAATTTATTTTATTGGGTGAAATAAGGACTTTGGGGAGAAGAGCTGGGGCATAGATTTTTAAATGTTCTGGGCAAATGAATACAGCCTCTGGTACACGATGATGCTCCCAGCTGCTTTTGTTTGATGGATTATCCTGATGCCCTTCGTTTTATTGTAGCGCTAAAGTAATGGGTCTGCCTGGAACAGTTTGCTGACAGATGAGAGCCTTGGTCTGTCACTGAAATCCCAAGAATTTAAAGGGAAATACGTAGCAATTCACCTGGGCTCCCACTTATTACCTGAAGTAAAGGGGCTGCACATGGGGACTGACTGGCTTTTATTTTACCTTTCAAAGGAGAAATTTCATCTACGTTTCTGCAGAGACTGAAGGTGCAGATGGGCAGGTGAAAGTCTGCTGCCATCTCACCGGGACATTAATCAGATTTCCTGCTTTTCCAGCAAAAGATCACTTTACCTAGACAAGTTCTCTTGCAGCTCATGCGTGGGACGTTTCTAGAGAAGATGTGAGGCAAAGGACCTGGATGGAGAATCTTCTCTGGCTATGTTTTGTTTTTTTTTTCTTAACTTTTTATTTTCAAATGATTATAGGCCTACAAGGAATTGTAAAAATAGTATAGAAAATTCCTGTGTACCATTCACCCAGTTTCCACCAATGTTAACATCTTACATACCTGTAATACGTTATCAAAACCTGGAAATTGATATTGATACAATACTAATAATTATAATACTGGCTTTATCATCACCAGTTTTTACATGCACTCACTGTGTGTGTGTATGTGTGTATTGTTCTATAAAATGTTATCACATCTACAGATTACCTGCTATGTTTTCAATCATAAATAATAGGAACGATCACAATATTGTTTGTAGCTTTTGAATTATTGAAATAATAAAATACGAAATATTTTGCATCTTTTATTCTCTCTTTACAACCACGCTGTCATTGGGGTTGGTGTGTACTCTGATATCATGAGTGTTTGAGGCTTCTAGTTCCCTCTTTACTCTCCAGGAGAAGATGAAATGTGATCGAGAAGAAATATACCATTGAGTCGCTATGGTAGACACTGTGAGTGTTAACCAGTCAATCTTGTTCTCCTCCATGTTTGGGCACGTGGGAGGTTACTCTGTCCTCCCTCTTGAAGTTTGGCATGGCCATATGACCTGCTTTGGCCAGTGACATGAGAGCGGAAACTTTCACTAGGTTCCTCCTTCCCTGTCACAGAGGTCATGGAGGTAAAGGTCCACACGGAGGTGTCACTAGACCAAAGCCGTCCGGAATGCTGAACCGTTGCGTGGAGGCGAACCCAATCCAGGAGCATAACTCAACCAGCAACGGACTTGCCTTGAGTGAAAAATAAACTTTGTTGTGTTAAGCCGCTGAGATTTTGGTGTCATGATTACCTAACCTAGCATTTCCTGACTGGTGCAGTGCTATGGCATGGCGCCACCTTGAGAGAAGAAGAGAGGTTGCTGGCTACTCTTCCTCGTGGTGTGGCTTTTCTAGGATTGTTCTGCTCTGGGAGAAATTGCTTTTCCACAGCTGATGG